AAAGGGGTCAGGGGAGATAAGAGAAAGAAATTTACAGCATTTGAACAGAACAATAAATTAATATAAGGTTCACAGTCACATTAACAAGGGAAAAAAAAAAAACCTCAAACAACAACAACAAAGAAAAGCCATAGTAAAAAGATGGGCAAAAATCAGGGAAACAAATACACTCTTTTCTCCCCAGCCCAGATGTGGGCCTGCATTCAAACATACCAGCGACATAGGAGATGAGAAGGAGAACAGCTGTGAAATGCCGATTCCCCACCCTGCAGCATGTGCGTTAGGGCGCTGGGCAGCCCCTCCTGTGTTAACTGGACTGCCCTCGCTGTTGGCAGGTGATGCTTCCTGTCAGAGGTATCAGGCCACGGCTGCCGGCCTCCGTGATTGTGAGCCCGAAGGGAAGCCAGCCATGGCAGGCAGCACATTGCGGAGGGAAGCTATTCACCTCGTGAAGGACAGATGCAGAGGGACAGGAAGGGGCTGGAGACCAGGTGCTTCGTCTCAGGGACTGGATTCCCCGGCTGGGGACCAAGCCTTCCACACACCAGCCTTCCAGGAGAACGCTTTCTATCAAAACCACAACACAAGTGTTAAGAGCAGGCTGTGAAACTGGCAGCCTTTGCGTGGCTGGTGGGAGTCTTTAAAAGCACAGAAATTCTGAGGCACGGGCTGTTAACATTTGCTCAAGTTCGGTTCACGTGGAAATCTTCCTCTGTGTGAGGGATATGTATATATGTATGTATGTATATGTTTATGTGTGACATATACAGATGCACTACAAGGATCTATGGATACAGTACCGACAGTTGGCTCAGCCAGTAAAGCTCTTGCCTCAGAAGCACGAGGACCTGCGTTCGATCCCCAGGACCCACCCTGGCATTGCAGAGTTGCATCACCAGGAAAGTGGAGCCCGCTGGCAGGCCAGCCTAGACTAGTTGCCAAAGTTCCAGGCTGTTAGACCCTGTCTCAGACAAAAGGTGCTTGAGGAATGACATTCAAGATTCCCTTCTGATGCCCCACCCCAACACACACACACACACACACACACACACACACACACACACACACACGACATGTATATGCAAATGATAGAGGATAGACTGACAGACAGACAGAGATGTTGCTTAAATGGAGAGTCAGATGTTCATTGCAGCATTGTTCAGGATGCATGAGAGTTGGTAGCTACCTGAATGCCCCCACAGGTCAGCCCATTTACGGCTGCAAGCTGGACTTCCACCCAGCCATGCATGTGCTTTAAAATCATAGTGCAGACTGAAGAGTAAAAAAAAAAAAAAAAAAAAAAAAAAAAAAAAAAGCCTAACAAGCATGTAGGTTAGGACAGGCGCCATTCGTAAGAAGACACGGTAATAACTCCATCTAGGAGGGCCGTGTTTCCATATTTGGTACATTAGTGACCAGAGCTATTGTCTAAGGCCGGGTGGGAAATGAAGGTCAGAGGGGAAAGGTTTGGTCCAATGGAAAGAAACTGGTTCCTGAGTATAGATTTCTTCCTTTGTTTTTTTGTTTTTTGTTTTTTTTTTTTTTAATTGGCAAAGGATTTTGTGTAGACCAGGCTGACCTTGAGGTTACTATGTAGCCAAAGAGGGCCTTGAACTGTGTGTGTTGGGGGCAGGGGGGGTGCATGTGTGTACAAGTGGGAGGGGCGGGTCTGAGCACAACCTAGCATGTTGTTCCTTGGGCACCAGCCTTGATTTTTGAGACACTCTCTCTCACTGGAGCCTAGGGCTAACGGACTAGGCTAAGCTGTTCATCCAGGGATCCTCCTGTTTCTGTCTTCCCATGCTGGAATCACAAGCATGTGCCACCATGCCCAGCTTTTCACATGGTGCTGGGATTTGAACTCAGGTCCTCAAGCACAGGAAGCAGTTTCCTGAGCCCCTTCCCAGCTTTCTTGTCCCTCTCCCTCACATTCTCTTCCTTCTTCCCTCCTGCAGGTGTTAATGGGGTAGCAGAATGACAGGATTCTGTATTCGGTCCTATGGGGAAAACAAAGTTGGCTTCCAAGCCACGGAGAGCTTAGGTAGGAAGCCACATAAAACCCACCAAAGCATTCATCAGTTCTGCTCACACAGCACAGACTCCCAGACACACGCTCAGGGCAAGCACCATCCCGAGATGAGGACGCTCATAGGAGTGCCAGCAGAACGGTATAAAATCCCTAAGTCATGTGACAGGCTGGAGGTGATGCTCTGCTGTCTCTTCTGAAAATACGAATGCCTGAGCTCTTCAGTGCAAATGCCTGTTGGGACCTGAGAAAAGCGTAAATAGGGAAGGGGCTGGGGGGGCGGGGTGAGCAGACAAGACTCAGCACGGCAGAGCCTTCGGCCAACGCTGGCCCTGTGCCTTGACCAGCTTGGACCTTGACTCTCTGGTGGTTGCCAAGCAAAATCACGGTGCTACTCCTTCATTCCCAAGAGAAGGCAAGAACCTAGATTGTCACGTGATGTTGGCCTGTGTTAAGCTCTTCCAACCCCTTCTGTGAGTTTTAAGTACCAGGAGAGAGTCATTTGTGCTGTGTTTAAAGTGTGGTTGGCACTTCTGCTCGCAGCCCTGGCCTCCGATGGGCATGCTCAGAGACGGCAAGGAGACATTTGGAGACCAAGATTTTTACATCATCCTTAAAAAAAAAAAAAATTGTTATTCCCTGACACCCTGAAGAAGGAAGGGAATGAGTGGGGGTTCAATGTTCATTTCTGTCACCTACAATCAGTGACAGATTCAAGGTCTGCTGCCCCAGAGGGCACAATCCACCCTGCAGGGCTAGAGGAAGGAGGCATCCAACCCCCACCCTGGAGTGCCTGTGGCAATTTGGGAACAAGAAGATGGGCTCTCACAGCGCCTGTGGGAACATTGGGACCGGTCCTTGTTCATGTAAAGTCCCCAGTGCCCGTTGATTTGTGTGGAAGCCTCTCACCGGTTTAACAACTTATAGGATGGGGGCACGATTCAGCGGGTGAAGCGCCTGCTTCTGCAGGCATGAGGACCTGAGTTCGAATCCCCAGCACCCACATCAGAAGCTGGACATCAGGGGACACGGCTGTAACCCGAATGCCTGGGGGAGGGGACCAGAGGAGGATCGGAGGGCTACAGGGAGAGATGCTGCCTGGTAAAATTAAGGTGTAAAAGGGACTGGGAAGGTATGCCCACATCAATCTATGCTCCCTGCATGCACCTGTCTGGGTGGTATACACACACACACACACACACACACATACCACATGCACACACATGCTTCAAAAAGCTTGCCTTGGCATACAAGAATATGCAGTAAACCATACAACAACAATGTGTCCATCTGCCTCGCTAAATCACTATTGGCAAACTTTTTTCTCCCAGACATTAACTAGCTTCAGCTTGTGAGGGGCTGGGGCGGCGCACACACCCTCTCTTAGAAGGACCCTTCTCAGAGGCTGTGGTGTAACAGTAATCATGGGCGGAGGAGTGATTGGTAGCCCGTTGGATTTTACCCCTGGACATTCACCTTTCAGTTTTACATTGTATTCACATTTTATCGGGAAATGTTACCCTTCTCTTGATTTTTTTTTTCTTCAACTCTTTAAAAATGTAACAACTTGGGCCGGAGGCCAGGCTCAGCGGCACAGCACTGGCTTGACAGGGCTAAGCCCTGGGTCTAAGTTCTAACACTGCAAAGAAAGAAATGTAAAATAAAATTTGAAGGCTATTCTTAGCTCACAGGTTGGGGTAGGAGACAGGCTGGAGTCGGCCTGATGGAGGGCTCATTGTGCAGGGAGAAACTCAAGTGCAGGAACACTGATCCAGCTCAACTCCCAACGTCCACCTCCCAGCTTTCAGCCCCAGCCCTGCCCTCCTGCGATCACATTTTATCATTCCTAGCCATAATGCTGTCTTTTCATTCTTTTTCGGTCTTAAAAAAATTACGTGCATTTGTATGTACAGATGTTCAAAGAGGCCAGAAATAGTCAGATCCCTGGAACTGACTGTTGTCTGGGAGCCTCCTATTGTAGGTTCTGGGAACCAGCCCTGGGTCCTCAGCAAGAGCAGTGTGGGCTCCCAACCCCCGAGCCTTCTCTCTGGCTCACGCTGCCGTCTTTCGATCACAGTGTGTCTTAACAACCCTGACTTGTGTGTTTGGGGCCTCAGACTTTGCATCTTCTCGTGGGTGCCCTTCTGCCTCGTTGCCAGACTCTGGCCATCCATCGCCATGCTGCGAGGGCTCCCACTCAGCTCGTGGTACAGCTGCCTGTGTGATGTCATCTGAGCACGCTGTCCATCCCGGCCCAGTCTCGTGGTACACATAGGTGCTTGGGGGGCTGCCCCAAGCTTGTCCCTTCCGCACCTTGCCTCCTAGCCTGCGCCATGGCCTTGTCAGGGAGGCATTTTGATTGTCTCTGTCCCTTAGACTTACGAAAGTCAGCAAGGGTCAGGACTAGGGAGAGTTGAACCTGTGATGGTCCTGTGTCCGTCCTAGTCTGCTATTCCAACGGTGGCCACCGTGTGCCATGGCCATGGTGTGTCCCAGCATCGTGGTGGTAACTGGCCATGCCCAGGATGGCCTCAGCTAATGAAGTCTCAGCAACTGGAGCCTGTCACTGACTGACAGTGGCAATCAATGCTGAGTGTTGTGAGTATCGTGAGCTGAAGTCTAGGCTATTGAGAGTAGCTACCCCACATACTGGCATCTTCGTTTCCCTGCCATAGCAGGTAGGCACTTAAGAGCAACTACAGTTACGGTGCCAGTATGGGATGTTTCGATGAAAACTTAAGAAAACCCGTGGTACCTTATGTGGCTCTACCCCCACCCCCCAGGGGCAAGGACTTCATCTCCACTTTGACAAAGAGTTTGCGAATGTGTATAATATGGAATGTATTAGAAGGTTGGGAATAGGTAATCAGCTTTTAATATTTACATTCTTAGGGGAAGAAATCTGATTCATTAGCAAACATGCCTAATAACGAATAAATTACATTTCCCTTTGTCCCCGCTCAGGTACAAGGCAATGTTAGAAGTGGTGATCTCACCCAGCCTCGCAGCAAGCAGTGACTTCAGGGAATCCCTGACGTGGAGCGAGGACAGTGCCGCTGTGGGGGCTCTGAGTGACAGAGAAGGTAGGCCTCTGCAAATGTTTGGCCGGATGGGTTAAGAGGGCCTGGCTCATTCATGACAGACTGGGGACCCATGGGACCATTCCCAGAACCTGTTACTCACATCGATGGTTCTAGAAAGGAACTTGTGTGCACATGGATCACAGTCCTGTCCATCATTCAAGGGACAGGTATACACAGCCAGGACCTGAGCTGCCCTTCTTGGTCTCTGGCTCCACGAAATCCTGACATTGTTATAAAGAATAAAGTAGCCTCTGGCCCTACCTTGGGCATGATCTGCTGGCTCTCCAGCTCTGACCCTCAAGCCCCCTCTTGCCATTACCTCCTCCCAGCGGGAGTCTTGCTCATAGGATTCTGTGCCCAAGAGAACTTGTCTGCCTGTTACTTTCAGGCTGGGTTGAAGTCAAGGAAGCAGAAGAAAGTTAAAGCTGTTTAGAAAATTATTGGCAAGTGATGCTGCCAGACTAGTTTTCTCTAGAACAATCTGAGCTTTTGTTTGCTCTGCTGGGATTGTCAGCCTTCCTGGTAGAGCCTGAGGTGAGCAGAAGGCATGAAGCTATCAGGCTGAAGCCCTGGGATTAACCCTTTCCCCGGCAGTATGCTCAGGGATCTGCTGCCAATGGTGTCCTCAGACCCTGGCTTGTCCTCACTCATCGTCTCTGTGTGACGCCAGATCTTGGAATAGGAATGCTACAGGACAGTCATAAGTCACCGAAAGGTCATGTGTCCAGTGCCAAGCAACACCACGTGAAACTCTTTTGAGAGCAAATCTCTCAAATTTGAGAGAATAATTCCCCAGAGAATGATTCTGTCGCCAGAACAGTAACATTGTCTTTGCATGCTGGTTATGTTCAAAGTCTAACCACAAAACTGAGGACTCTGAGACCAGACTAGATGGCAAAGGGTACCCAACGGCTATCCTGGCACCTACAAACAAGTGTGAAGATGACCTTCTTTGAGGCTTTAAAAGGAATTACCATCCTGTTCAAATGGCCTTCATCATTTTTTTTTTCTGGGTAGAGGCCCAGGCCAATTTCCTGCTGTGCCCCAGAGTAAGCTCGGACTGAGTCAGCACAAAAGGGATCAGAGCTATAGGTGTGGGGCATCCGGATCTGACTCGCAGCCCAGCCGCCGCCCCACTAGGCAATCTGAGCCTCAGTTTCCTCCACTGTCAAATGGGCCATGATAATGACCCACTCTGTAGAGTGCCATAAAGGGGATTAAGTGAGGTTATGGTGTGTGGAGAGCCTGGCCCACCCCAGAGGCATGGTAAATGATTAATGTAGGTCATTGTTCCTCTCTGAATCAAACAACCACAGGGCTCAGAGGCAGGGTGGGAGTCTGGCCCTGGGCCATGCCTTAGTTTGGTCAAATCTGCTTTCCCTTGAGGTGCTGAATCCTTCAGCTATGAGAGGCCCACCTTTCCACCTGGCCGCTGCCCAGTGGGAGCAAAGGGGCAGCTGTCCCTCAGATGAGTCCCTGCTCCTCCCCTTCCTCTTTGGTGTTCCTGAGATCTGGCTCTGTAGCAGGCCCTTCCTCACCTCTGGTTCCAAGAAATGTTCCAAGAAATAGCATGAACAGAGTCACTTTGGGGCATATCCCCAGCCCAGTTCTGTGACTCTGGCTTCCCCTTCCCCTCCTCCTCTATCACCACCATAGAAAACATTGGTGGCCATTTTGAACTAGGGGCAGAGGGTGTGACTCAGTGGTAGTGAAGGAAGTGAAGGTCTGGGAACATAGCTCAGCAGTACAGCATCTGCCTAGAGTCCACCAGTAACAATGTGTCATTCCTAAGTATGCATTTAAGTCCCCCTTCCTATTTAGTACCTAGCTCAGTTCTTGTCTGTCAGAATTATGGATGGATGGATAGATGGATGGATGGATGGATGGATGGATGGATGGATGGATGGATGGATAAACAAGTGGGTGGGTGGATGAGTAGATGAGTGTGGGGGTGGCTGAATAGATGAGTAGATGGAGAAATGGATAGACAGACAGACAGATGGGTGGGTGGCTAGATCAATGGATGAGTGAGTGGCTAGGTGGTTGGGTAAAGGGGTGAGTGGTTGTGTATTTTGAAACATGGATGAATATAGTGGTGTTGAGAGATGAGCTAACTCCAGGTCAATATTAGCTTTGAACCGTTACTAAAGTTTTTGTAACTTTCCCCTGTCCAGTTTATTACCTCCTTAGGTTCAGGTTACCTCTCTTGGATTCTGTTCTAGTTTCTCCGTTGCTGCTGTGATAAAACACTTAGGGGAGGAAAGAGTTGGCTTGGCTTACACTTCCAGGTCCCCGTCCACCGCTGAGGGATGCCAGGGTAATGGCTCAAAGCAGGGACTTGAAGCAGGAACCACAGAAGAGCGCTGTTCTCTGGCTTGCCCGTGCAACCCATGATCAGCAGCTTGTTTAAATATCCATTTATCTCATGAAAGTTGGAATGATGCTTCATGCACCTTAGCTTTCTCCTTGCCTGTGCCTTTGATTGTAAACTAACCAACCTCCCGCCAACACCATCACCCTGCTGAGCTACCGTGTGTATCCCAGTCCCTGTGTGTATGAACTGAGCTGTGAGTTCTGGTTGTCAAAGAAGATTGGTTCTTGCACCTGTCTTCCCTGCTTTTGTCCACCAGCTAAACATATGTACTTCAGCCTGCTCCCTTAGATAACCCAGGACCACTGGCCTACAGACGGTGACACCCACAGTGGGTTGGGCCCTCCTGCGTCAATTAATGATCTAGGCGATATCCCATAGATATTCCCACAGGCCAATCTAGGCAGTTTCTTGGTATCGGTTGAGGCTTTTCTCTCAGTTGACTCCAGGCTGTGTCGAGTTGAAAATTAAAGCTAAGTAGGACGCCCTACACCTTATCAATCGTATCTCTTTTAAGCCATAACCTTTCAATCCTTTGTCCCCAAGACCTCATGTTAATATTATATTATATTATATTATATTATATTATATTATATTATATTAT